TCTCTCTCTCGCTGGCCTCCCGTGACCTCGCTGGAGGCAGGACTAGGAGGAGCGTCTGGGGCTGGGAGAAGGTGAGGAGAGTCTGTCTCTCTGATCTAACTCACTAGCGGTTTCTATGCACGGAACCTCCTTTATGAAGGACCGCGTGGCAGAGGTCTGCGTGCTGCTGCTGGACGGAGAGCCTGCCGGGGGCTCTGGGTCCCCCAGTTCCCTGTTTCTCAATGCTCTCCCCTGCCCTTGTTCGGTGACCGCCCCTTCTTGTTGGTGGAGATGGCCGCGGAAGTCCCAGGTTTTGTGGAATCACAACTGCCCTTTCTGCTCTCTGTCTCCTGGGGCCTTCACGTTGGGTGCATAAATGTCTGCGGTCATCGTATCTACAGGAGAGACGGAGCCTCGTATTGATATTCAAAGTCCCCATTTGTCTCGTGACAATTTTTGAATCAAAGTAGACTTTACTATCGGCAGTTGGCCCTCTCGGGTTTCTGTGGACAAGTGCGCGGCCTGGAGTAGGTGAAGAGGCTAAATCAGGGGTCAGAAGCCAGCCCTCAGAGGAAGAGCCCAGGACCGGCTGCCCTCCATGCTAAATGTTCATTAAAGAGATTTTTGAGTCCTTTAAAACTCTTCCCAAGAAATGGAACAGGAAGGAACACACTCTAACGCAGTTTCTGAAGTCGGCAGGATCTCAAGACCAAAACCAGAAAAAACAACAAAAGAAAACCACAGACCCAACCCGATAAAGATGGATTCAGAGACCCTCCACCAACACGCAAACCAAGCCCAGGGCACAGCAAGGCCCCGCACCACTGGGCGGGCTTCCCCCGCGATCCAGAGCGTCCGACAGGTGCAGACCCGTCCCGCACAGACCCTCTGACGGAGCGGCCGGGAGCCCCGGGGGTCTCGCAGGATGAGAGAAGCCCACGGAGCCATCTCCTTGGCCAGCACAGGCAGGAGAAGGTCCCCAACGGGAGGAGGGCACGGACGGAAAGCTCCAGCACACCAGGGCGAGAGGCCGCTCAGCCCAGGAGCAGGACCAGGCCGCCGCCTGCCCCCTCCAGCGATGTGCACCAGAGTGACCGGCCAAGCCAACAGGCAGAAAAGGAAAGAAAGCCTCCAGGTTGGGAAGTCAGAAACGTGGCGCTCAAGGCCACCGCGGGGCAGGGGGCTGCAGACCACAGGACAAGACCCTCAGGGATGCCCCTGGATGCCACAGCGAGACACCAACTCCTGCCCCCCGTGGTCACCGTCACCAAACACACAGCAGCTGGTGCTGAGGACCCTGCACGGTGCTGGTGGGGCGGAACAGCCAGGTGCCACAGAAAATGGTCTGGCAGTCCCTCAGAAGGGCAGCATGGAATGACCGTGTGACCCAGCGATTCCAGACATATATCCACACAACGGAAAAGAGACATTTAAACAAAGCTTGTATACGAAGTTAGAGCAGCACTGTTCTCCCAGCCAAACAGTGAAAAGAACCAGGACCTGAACACTCATGAAAAGATCCAAAGTGACTGTCCATGGTGTGGAATAGTACTCAGCCAAGGAAAGGAAATGCCCCTGACACAGGCTACCACACTGGATAAACCTTGAAAACATACATGAAGGGCCAAGAGCCAGACACAGAGGCTCCATGTTCTATGATTCCACCGACATGAAATGGGCAGAGGGTCCACAGGGACAGATGAGTGGCCACCAGGGGCTGGGTTTCCTTAGGCAGGAGGAGAATGTTCCAGAACTAGAGAGTGGCAACATTCTACACTTTACAGGGACAAAGTGGTAGACATCATGGTCAAGTCACCCCAGCTGAGGGCTCTGGGAGGGAGGCCACACCCAGGGTACTGGACACACGAGCCTTTTCCACCCCGCGGTCCTGCAGGCAGCACCTGCGAGACAGGTCATTGGCCACTCAGGGAGATATCCTGTGCCCGAGGAACTGGGTGCTCTGAGACCTGGGTCCGGCTCCTCTGCAGCTGCCCGTCCGGGTTGGTGGTCAGGGCCTCGGGCTCCCACCAGCCTGCGCCCCTCGAACCCTGGGCAGGTGTTTTCTGGTGGCTCCACGCGTTCCTTGGCGCCTCAGGAAGACTCTTGGTGAACTGGTCACAGCAGGGTGGCCAACAGCAGCTCCTGCCCGTGTCCAGTGCACGACCAGTGGCCAGGCCTCGAGCGTCCCTTAGCCGTGGTAGGACCTCCCAGAGCCTCGAGCCGTGCCGCCTGGCGCTGTGTGTGGCTGCAGCATCCACGGCTCTTGCTCCCTTTCTTTTCCCACCTGAGGGTGGCAGGTGCCCGGGGAGGGCTGGGGCTGAGTGTCCACGGCAGACCCTCTGGGAGCAGGCTGTGCCCAGGACTCGGCAATGCCCTTGTCAGCCAGAGAGGGTTCTCAGTGGAACTGCCAAGATCTTCACCAGAAAGAGCTGCTCAGGCTCCATCTTCCCCTGGGGTCACCAGGGGTCAGCGGCGGCCCAGAGCCCCTCGCAGCCCATGCTGGCCGGGCTGCCCCTGCTGCCCACGGGAGTGGTGGGCCGGGCTGGCCGTCAGTCCACATCCTGGGCCCATGGATCTCACCTCAGCGGCTCCGAGGCAGGTCCCGTCCTGGGGCAGGGTCCACAGGGGACCTCTGAGCTCTGGTCTCCCGAGGATTGTCCAAGAGTCCACTCTGAGTCTCTGCCTGCCTTTGCATGGTCCCTGTGTCCCCAGCCCTGTCCTGTCTGCTGACCACTGCTGACTCCACAGTCGGGGCCGGGCCCATGCGTGTCCTAACCATGACCCCATCATCCTCAGCTGCAGACATCTTGAAACACTGGCCCTGGGAGGAACTGTCCACTACCTGTGCTGGGCCCGGGATCTGGGTGGGGGCATGCTGACTGTCCCCACCCTGGGTCAGGGCTACTCTACCAGGCTGACCCTCTGGGCACAGGCCTGGGCCACCACACGCCGCTCCAGCTCCTCCACCCACCTCGCTCCACACCACCTCCTGCTGGTCACCCCCATCCTCAGGTGCTGACCCAGGACCGCCATGCCATGACAGTGACCACAGGCTCTGGGAAGCTCAAGGGCCAGACGGACAGACTGGTCTGTGCCCAGGTCTCACTGTCCCGATGCAGCGACTGTCCAAGGAGCCCTGGCCTCCCTGGAATGTCCATCTCCACGGGGACGAGGTCTCCCTGTCCTTGCTGCCCACGCCAGCATCAGGTCACAGAGACCAGCCGCAGGGAGGGCCACCCTCGCCTGGGCTTCTCCCCAACCCAGGAGGCTCCACAGGACAGGCTGGTCCACTGCGCACAGAGGCCAAGGACACACAGACATGTCCCCGGGGCCAGGAGCCAACACCAGATGCCCTGGCAGGTGGCCCACGGGGGGCACTGCAGGGTCAGCCCCCAAAGCAGCTCGTTCCTTCCAGGTGACCCAGGGGACAGACTCAGCAGGGCAGCGGCTCTGCCAGCACCAAAGGGGTTTTACGAGCTGAGCCCTAATGAGGGGCCTCAGGCCCAACACCAACCAGGAAAGGGAAGGGCGCGGCTGGGCCTCCTGCTGGCCCCTGGACGGGTATAAAGGCCAGAGCCCTGAGACCTCACACACACACACACACAC